TTTTAAACTCAGAGGCGAGATGTGCTGTTCTAGAAATGAACCGCCTTTGACGTGCTCTCCTTGGCCATCCGGTGACTGTGGTGATACTCAGTAATGAGGTAGGTGGCACTTTTTCTAGCATGAACTTAATGGTCAGGCCTTGAAGGGTGACACTCCAATGCCCATTCCAGAAAGAGAGTTCCAAAATTGCTTTGAAGGGTGCACCAGGCACTGGTGTTGGTGCACAGCTTCCCAAGTGGGTACTTCAAAGGTGACCCTAGTGATATTTGGCAGTGAGGTATGTAGCCCTTTTTCTAGGGTGAGTTCTTGAACTTGACTGTCCAGCCTCATATATATGCATATGTATTTGAGTGCTTATGTATGTCATGCACCCACGTGACTGGGTGCCCAAAATTGTAGTTTCGGTAAGATGTTGCGCACCTACTGTGCGTAGGCAAATTAAATTTTCTTTCCTTTCTCTGTGCAAACTTTGGGCTGGGAAAAGGAGATGATGGCAGGGGACAGTCACCAGGGGCTGAATCCTCAGGCCAATCCTAATGTAACTTTAGACTCTAAAGCAGTGTGTTTTATTTATTTTTATTTTATTTTTCATGTCAGATGGGTAATGTGCTGATGTCGTAACAAGATTTGTGAGAAGCATATCTTTTCACGCATGCCCGTGAAGACACAGTCATCACGCTTATGAACTACAAAAGGATCTACAAAAGGCTTTTCAACCGGGGGCAGTGCCTGTGTCTCAGAGGAGTAGAGTGCCAGCCCCATATGCCGGAGGTGGCAGGTTCAAACCCAGCCCCAGCCAAAAACTGCAAAAAAAAAAAAAAAAAAAAAAAAAAAAATGGTTTTTCAACCACAGTACACTTAAACCTGTAGTTAAACTTCCACGGCACACTTAAATTAGGTTGATTAAATAACATATGCTTTGAACTTCTTTCAAAAATAATTTAAGGAATGATCATTGAAAAATTTCATGGCACACCAGTTGGAAATCAGTGCTCTAGAAATTGATCCGTTGGTCAAGTTACTTATAGGTAATGTACAATGTCTGTCTATAGCAGACTTACTGGAGAGAGACTGGGTCAGAAATTTAAATTATTTGTATTATAAATGTGGGGAGAGCAGGCCATTCGTGTAGTCCTGTATCTGAATCCTTTTCATTCGTTCCCACATGCCTCAGATGTGTGGCTGGTGTCATGTTTGTAGTCTCTGAAACCCACGGTTAGGTGGGTGGGTGTTTAAAGAATCAGAGCTTCATAGTCAGATAACACGTTTTGTAAATCATGTCTTCTTGTTCATCTTTGGAGTGGATTAGATGAGGGCTTGCTCTGTTGTAAGTTGGCTGTGACATGGATCTTTATTACCCAGATTCAGATGTGTTGTGAGCCACAACCTCACACTGGGTGTCACAGGGGAGGCGGTGAGAGCTGCTGTAATGTGGCATTGCCCACACTATGAGTCTGTTATCTGTCAACACATGGTAGGGGGTGGGGTCTTCCTCCTGCCTCAGCCCCCACCCCTAATGAGTCACATTCAGCTGATGCTTCCCTGTTGGTAAAGCCATCCTCACATATGGGATTTCCTTCCTGCCTTATAATAACCTTCTGGAGGGATCGGTGTTACCCCCATTTTATGGAACATTGAAGCTCAAAGAGGCTGAGGCATGTGTGTGAAGTCTCATATGTCTGCAGGTGACAGAGCTTGGAATGTGTGGCATTGAGTCCCTCTTCTGTCTATGTCACAGCTGTCCCTTGTAGTTGAATATCGCACCGTTCATCCCACACAATTGGACGATGCGAAGCTGCTGGTTTTGTTGTCGTGTGTTAAGTCCTGCTCTGTAGAACCAACGTGGTTTCTTGGAAAGAGCTGTGGGTTTGGGGTCTGAGGAGCTGAGTTGACGTCTTTGCTTTTCCACTCTTGAGTTACATGACTTTGAGCAAATCAGTTTGGAGCCTAGGTTTCCTCATCTGGAAAGTGGAGGTAGTAGTGGGCATCTCGTGAATGCTGGGGGCTGGTGTTTGTAAAATGGAAAGCATCATGCAGCATGTCGAAGGTCACTGCCAGAATCCCCTCTCCAACCAGACTGAACATTCCTGGCTGGATTAGGACACACTGCTCTATCTCTATTACTGAGCAAGATGCCAGCTCTCTAGAAACTTTCCCATAAACATGAGCTTACTGGTTGACTGAGAGCTGAGATCATGCCTCCTGGCTCCCTCACTTCTCCTCCCCACTGTGTGATGTTTCTCTACAGGGTGACACCCCAGAGATAAGTTTCGGCAGATCACAAAATATTTCTGAATACATACATCAATGTTCATATTTGTAAACATTTACAAATTTCAATGTGCGCATGTGTGATCGTGTAGAATATTTCGTGTATGGGGGCGGATTTGCCATTATTGGGGGCCTCATCCATGCCTGGGGCAAGGGGACTGATACAGCCTTAGGAAGATCAAAGCTCGTCTGCTATCTCTGGTGGTTATAGCTCTGTGGGCGGCCCTTTGATGATCCCAAGGCTCTCAGAACTGTGTTAAGAGCCCTGGGGTACATGCCCCATCTTTCCTGTTGCCCACCTAGCCACCCTTCCTAACCTGCTATGTAATCAACAGCCTAATGTATCTGTGGACAAGGAGTCTGAGGCTGGGAGGGGAGTGCAATCCCCAGGGATTAGGTCTTTTTCAGAACGCTTGGATGTCACTAAACTGTCCTTGGAATGTACCTGGGTTAGGAAAGAATTCAGTGAATTATGAGATTTCCTATATAATGAAAAGGAAACCCTAGCACATTGGCAGATGTCCTCCAGAGAGTAGTATTGTTGTTGTTGTGTGTTCCTGTAGCATATACCTGTGGTTACGTGTCTACAGAAACACAGCTGCCACCCCAGTTTCTGCTTGAAATCCCCGGAGCAAGGACTTCTCTGGAGCGCAAGAAACACTCTCTGCAGTGGCTCAGGCATGAGGGTGGGCTTCTTGCAAAGTCTGCTTTACAGAGGAGCAGTACAATAGGAAAGCACTGAACCTGTTATTCAGAACCTGGGTTTGGCTTGATTGTGTTACTGTGCGTAAAATTGAACCTCTGTGTGCCTCACCTTCCTCAGATGAAGACCAAAGGCAAGAATCATCACGCACAGCAGTTGAAAAGCACAGGGATGAGACTGTGCAGAAAAGTTCTTAGAAATCTCGAGCAAATACAAGATGAGATGATGGTTGCTTTTTGAAGTCTTGAGTGGCTTGGAGAACCAAAGTAGAAGCATGATTAAGAGAAAGACTCTTGAGTGGCACCTGTGGCTCAGTGAGTAGGGCACAGGCACCATATACCAAGGGTGGCAGGTTCAAACCTGGTCCCGGCCAAACTGCAACAAAAAATAGCCAGGTGTTGTGGCAGGCGCTTGTAGTCCCAGGTACTTGGGAGGCTGAGGCAGGAGAATCGCCTAAGCCCAGGAGTTGGAGGTTGCTGTGAGCTATGACTCCACTGCACTCTATCAAGGGCAATAAAATGAGACCCTGTCTCTTAAAAAAGAGAGAAAGACTCTTGGGACTCCCTGGGATCAACTCCCAGCTCTACTACTTGCCAAATGTGTGACCTTGGGCGAGCGACAGAACCTCTGTGTGACTCAGTTTTCTCATCTGTAAAATGGGGGAGAAATAATAGGATCAGTGTTTGAACATGTAGCTAAGGTCTCAATACATGTTTTGTTGAATATAAAACATTTATATATATTTGTGCATATAAATGTTACATATAATTTAGATTATTATCCAGTAAATATGAATCTTTAGTAAATCAGATTCCCACATCATTGCTCCTTGTCCTTACCTTTGGCTCTTTGGTCTTTTTTTTTTTAAATGGAAAACCTCTTACAATTTCACATTTACATCTGTGTAATGTATTTAAGCAGTTTACTTGATAATTTTGATAGCCTTGTGAATATTAAATATGTAACAATGTAATTAATTATACCCTCAGACAGTTATTTAATATCTAAACAAATTTCATCTTCAAACACATTTTCCTTTTTTACAATTTATTTTCTACTTCAGTACTCACATTTTAGTTACGTAATTTGCATTTGTATATTTTAAGTTGCTGTTATAAGTGTGCCCTCACCCAGAATACGTGTATTGGGCCCATTCGGTGTGAGTTTATACTGACTTTTTAGGCTTAACCTTTCCTTCAACTTTTTTTTTTTTATTCAATGATAGCTGTGTATATTAATGCAATCATGGGGTACAGTGTGGTGTTTTCATATACAATTTGAAATATTTTCATCAAACTGGTTAACATAGCCTTCATGTCATTTTCTTAGTTATTGTGTTTATATTCGACTCTTAGATTCACTTGCACCCTTGTAAGATAAACCATAGAAGCGATCCCTCCAATCACCCTCCCTCCACCCACATCCTCCTCCCCTCTTTCCCTCAACTTTAATGACAAGGATGCTAAGGATCATGGATATTCTCTTCTCTAGATTCCAGGGTAGTCTAGAGCAGTGGTGTTGAGCTGTGCTCATCAGAGCCTGGTGGGTCCAAGATAGGAGCCACGTTGCTGGTGTAGTGAGGCTGCAGGGGCCTGGGCTCCCCATTTTGGCTCTGACAGAGCCTTTATCTGCACCATGTATGATTTACTTCAACAAAAGAGTTCAGCTCCTTTGAGAAGTTTGACACCCACTGGCTTAGAGTCCACACATCTCAGGAACCTTCTCCACCCACCTCTGTTACAATCAACAGACTATCGTGATTTTGACAAACCACAAAGTCATTCGCGTGGCACCCCCTAAACCAAAGCAGTTAGTGGTTTTTTTCCCTAAAGCTTGTTTTTGTTGGTGTGCCTCATGAAGAAAGTAGACTCCTGCAATTGAGAAATATTTACAAAAAAAAGGTGGTCATGAAAATGAACTCTCCAATGATGGGAAAAACACATTGAGTTTGACTGGGATTTTCACACAGTCCAGCATCAAGCAAAGAGCGTATTGTTGGGAAACTGATCAGTTTGATGCAATAGTGGATATGACAGAAATAGAGGTACTGTCCCTGTCTTCTGGAGTTTATAGTCTAGTGAGGGTGACACGTTGCAGGCACTTAACAGCAATTCACAAGTGTGTGGTTTCATGTTCAACAATGCTTCTGTTAATATCACTGTTCAGAGAAGAGAAAAAGAGGAGTAGAATGTATTTATAACAGAGGGGGCTTCTCCAAGGAGCTGGGGGCTGAAATACAGGTAGGATTTAAGGGGCTGGGTGCCTTATGGTTGGGGGGCTTCAGCATGAAGAACAGCAGGGAGGTGGCCCAGCCTGGTAAGTAGACGCATCTGGGAAGATGCTTCATAGATTCAAAGACGATGGTCTTGCTGAACTGTAAGCTTCATCAGGGCAAGGACCATGGTTTGTGCCCAATATGCAGTAGTTTCTCAAGAAGTATGTGTTACAGAAATCCATGTATATCGTAGGGCTATGGCAGCTGTAACTCTGAAGCTCGTGAAACTTTTCTAACACCTCACCTGCTTTATTTATTTTATTTTATTTTTCCCTCAGAGACAGAGTCTCACTTTATCACCCTCAGTAGAGTGCCATGGTGTCACAGCTCACAGCCACCTCCAGCTCTTGGGCTTAGGCAATTCTCTTGCCTCAGCCTCCCGAGTAGCTGGGACTACAGGTGCCCTGCACAACACCCAGCTATTTTTTTGTTGCAGTGTGGTTGGGGCT